ATATATATGTATACCTGGATGATGCTATGTGTACCAGGTCCCTATGGAGACCAGAAGAGGATCTCTGATCTTCTGGAACTGTAGTTACAGGCAGTTATGAGCTGCCTGATGTGAGTGCTGGGAACCAACCCAGGCCTTCTTCAAGATCAGTAAGCACTCTTAACTGCTAGCAATCTCTCCAGTCCAAGGCTACCTCAGGTTTATTTTTTTTCACTTTTACTAGAGCAAGTACAATAAGGACAGAGACTTTATCTGATCTGTTCATCATTCACCCATCCTAGGAGCACTGAGTATTCTATGTTGGACATAAATGTACTGGTTGCATAATTGAACAGGAGAAAAAAAAATAGATGAAGAAAAATGTTCACTGTGTGTGTGTGTGTGTGTGTGTGTGTGTGTGTGTGAGTGTAGTCAGAAAGGTAGCTAAGCCTCAAAGGAAAAGACTATTTTGCACAAGCCAGAGATGCAGGCGAAGATTTCTATGTAACTCTCTTTGACAAGCATATGACATTTTTGCAACAATTATTAAATATATCAGAGTCTAAGAATCTTGTTATGTTTTATTCAAATTCAAAAACATGTCTTAGGACATGATAATGATTTCAACTTTGACCCAAACTAGATGGACTGCATTCCAATACATCTGTATCAGTCATTCCTACCTAAATTAACATAAACTTTAGGAAACTCTATCAGCCTCATAATAAGCAAGATGAATATTTAGACAAAGAACTTCATTGTTACAAAGCTTTAGAAGGGTGGTCTTGTGGGTGCTATGAATCCATTTCTGCCTAATTTAACTGAAAATTTTCTTTATTTCTTCTATGCGTTTCTCATCCTCGGAAGGCTTCCTCTTGCTACCAGGCTGCAGAAACTTCTTCACTGTCGGGAGGTTGCTGACTCTGGTTCTCAGTGCCTATAACCCACAAATCAGAGCCTCAAAGTGCAGTCAAAGAAAAATCTTTTTTTTCAGAACCCTGAACACCTCCCAGTTGAAGACCAAATGAGCACAGTATTGGGGTTATAAACAAATACTCGGTGAGAAAGAAGATGAGAGGGAGAAAATGAAGTGTTCCCCAGTACATCCTTCCCCATTCTGTTCCAGGCATCCCATCTTCTTCCCTGAACTTTAGTTCTTCAGACTTATCACTACTGCATGATTTAAGAATGAACAACTTGTTTCTCACATATCCAGAAGCACCCAAATAGCTAAAATGAAGTTATGGGAAAATGGAGTTAGAAATATTAATAGAAAAATATAGAACAGGAAAACTTAGGTCCAGTCACTACCAACTTTCACTCTAGAGATAAAAGTGGGAATTGTCAGGGACTGGGGGTGTAGTCCAGTAGTCCAGTGCTGGTCTAGTATGTGCAAGGTTCAGTCCCCAGCACTATACAAAACAAAGTCAAACAAAACCAGCAAGAGGGCTGAGGAGATGTCTTGGTGGGCAAAGGGCTTGCTATGCAAGGATAAGGACCTGAGTTTGAATCCACAGGAGCTGAGTTTAAATCCACAGCACCCATGTAAAACCTAGCTCAGTGGTACATGCCCACTACCGTAGCACTGAAGTGGGGGCAGAGGGATAGAGACAGGTAGATCTCTGAAGCCTATTTGCTAGCCAGCATAGCTAAATCAAGTACTCTACATTCCAGAGAGATCCTATCTCCAAAAGACAAAAATAAGTTTGAGGACTGGAGAGATGGCTCAACCATTAATATATTAACAACACTTAATGCTCTTGCAAAGGAGCTGGGTTTGGTTCCTAGCTCCTACATGTCAACTAACAAGCATCTATAACTCCAATTCCATGGGATCTGACACTTTCTTCTGGCCTTAGGGGCACTACGTACCTGCGGTATACTTACATCATGTAGGCAAAACACTCACAAAATTAAAAAAATATATTTTTAGGGCTGGAGAGTTGGCTCAGGATTAACAGCACTGACTACTCTTGCAGAGGACCTGAGTTTGATTGCCAGCACCCACATGGCAGCTATGAACTGCCTTAACTCCAGTTCCAGGGGAGTCCGAAGCCCTCTTCTGACCTCCGTGGCAATGCACAACATGTGTGCACTCACATACATGCAGGCAATACACTCATACACATAAAGACTAAAAAATAAGGAAAATTTTTTTTAAAAAACAAAGTGGAATCTAATTAAAGAAGGCACCCTATGTCTACCTCTGTCCTCCATATGCAGGATCACACATGTTCACACACCCACATGAATACATATGTACACCACACACACACACACACACACACACATACACACGCACACAAGTTGTTGGGTGGGGAGGTGAAGTGTGTCTGAAGAGGACCACTACAGAGAGAAATACAATGTCTGATAGTATAGAATCCTGCAAAAAGACCTCTTCAGATGGACCCACTGTGGAAGGGCAGGGGCACAGTCATGATAAATGGAATCCCATAGAAACCATGATCAAACACATGATAGGGAGAGAGAGAGTTTTGTACTGGGTTCTTATCATTCTACAAGACAAACTATATTTTTGAGTTAGCAGCCACCTAAGATTTCTTTGCATATACAAAATTCTCTTCAGATCTCAGAATCAGGGTCTAAAAATCTCATTTTGGAGGTATGGCTGTGGAGAGAGGTAGCTATAAAGGCAGGAGGGGGCTGATTCAGAACACAGCCTAATGGTCCAAATATTGGACTCTGTGATAGAAAATACATGCTGTCTTTCTGAGGACTTGAGACTCACCTTCAGCAGAGGGAAGTTGGCCATAACGCTGGAGTCCAGCTCTTCTGTGTGGTAGATAACTTGAACCAGGGAAACATCAGCCTTGCTCAGCTTGTTGCCAACAAGGTAATCTTGTCCATGGCTCTTTAACACCTATAAAGTTCAGGGAGTTAGTTAGACCATGGACACTACCACAGTCTGACTGAGGCCCCTTGCTTTTTCTTGAGTCTCTCAAACTAAATCTCCTTCTGCTGCCTTCCTGGGTGATGTAGAGCTCCACACTTTTCTCAAGGCCCCTGACTTCTGATGAAACTCAAGAAGCAGATCTCTGCTAAGCCATCTGTTAAAGGGGCGGCACCCACTTATTTTTGATTCCACAGCCCTGTGATGTTTATACCATCTACCCTATGCTGCATTTTATGCTCTAGCCACACCAGTTCTGCTCCTCCCACACTCAAAGGGCAATGCTTGACATTTGAGGGTGACTGCTCTCTGTAGTCTCTTAGTGGGAAGTAACTTTTCTTGCATGAAAACACTCCTCCTTCCAGAGAACACATTTCTCTTCTTTCTGCTCCCCCTATTTCCTAGTTATGTCTCTGGGATCTTGTTGGGGGACCCTGAGCTCGGCGCTGTACAGAGGACTCCCTTTCTCAATGGTGGCTTCCTGCTCTCTGCCTGACCTTATCTGGAAAGTGCCTCCAAGCACAGATGCCTGGTCTTATTTGGAACATGACCTTGAGCATAGTTACCTGCAATAAACTACCCCCAGATTTTTTCTGTATGATAATTAGGCATTGCACTATAGCTAGATTGATAGGGTCCTCCTGCCACATTCAAATAAAGCATGCTATGAACACCTATCAGGTGAAGCTTTGGCTACCATCTCCACCCTGTATTTTTCCCTGACTCCCACTGAATAAACGAGCTGTATCACTGAAACTGACTTCTGGAAGGTCTTTTCCATTATGTTCATTGGACGTCCTGACCCCATTTGTCGCTTCTGCTTCCCTTGTTCTTGTGGGTCAGTGGCCAACAGCCCACGAGGGGAGGGAGAGACCCACAGCTGGCCCCCAACGTGGGGCTCCTGGAATGCACAGAGTTTGTGAGTACCCCCTCTACAGAGGGTAGCGGCAGCTTTGCCTTGGCTATCCCACTCTGAGGATTGGCAGCTCTTCCTTTTCCCCCTTTTACTTTCAGTCTGAGTCTTTGCATGAGACTGTTAAAGATAGAGAAATTGAGGCTTTCTGATCAGGGCTACTCCCTGATCTTAGCTGAAGGCTTAGTCCTCTGAAAGGATTCCAACTGCCCGTCTGGGTGGAGACAAAGACCTCCTATCTATACATCATTCTAATGCAAAACCCAGTCACTCAACGACCAGTTAAGTGCTCTTAGAGTGGTCGCCGGTTCTCTGAAACTTGCAGTTAGGCTTGCACTGTGGACTAGTGAAGAATCCACAGAGACCTTCAGGTCTCGGGAATATTCCCCTAGGAATCGGCGTTTCACCCCCTTTCCTTTTCTATCTTGAACAACACCCCTAGAAACAAAGAATCCCCAAAGTTCTATTGTGCAGGGATTTTCACACACATTGAATTCAACTCCTAAGAGAGCAAATAAACTTCCTTATCCATTTTGTTATCTTGCCTCAGGGCATTCAGGTTCAGGCCAAACGAGTTAGATGAGAATTTAAATTGGCCTGCCCTGTGAGAGAGAGGGAAAGAAAGAAAACAAACAAACAAAAAAAACAAAATAACCAAACAAAAACAAGGGACTTAAAGCAGCAGGTGGCTGTGGAGCATTTAAAGAATTTAAGGCAGCTTCCCCATGGACAAATGGGAAAAAGATTTTAAAATCCATTTTTTTTTCCTGTAAACATTTTCTTGGGGAAGGGGCACATCTGAGACAACTGCCCTGTGTGGAGGGCTTTCTCCCATAGTCATCCATGTCCCTGCAGGCTTCCCTTTGGGGAGAAGTGCCTCCGTGCCACATGCACCCAGATGGCGGCTGGCTTGCACCAAGGGTGTGCACGGCGTGGCGCGGGTCATGGCCTTCCCCCCCCCAGCCCTCTTCAAAGAAATTCACCATGCGAGTTAATAGTCTTGCCTTAGTTTAAAAGTAAAATGTGGATAAACAATTAAAAACTTTTAGGCTAAAGAAAAACAAATGCCTTTTTGTATTAATTATATTGTTAAATTGTCACATGCTGTTTCAGCTCACTGAGACACTGACTCTAGAGATGGGATTGGCCCTCCCACCTCAGACTCAAGCCTATTATCTCAAGATATGTTCTCCAAGACTTTTACAGGTTCAGGCTGGCCCCCTGATGCTGTGATAAGAAAAGGAACACAACAAAACAGCCTAAGAGTAAATGTACTGCACAATTAAAAACAGCTAAGGTGTAAACAAATTTCAACAGAGGGTATTACTGTCTATAGTAAAAGTAGTTAATGGGATTTTTCTATTTGGTCACAATACTGAGTAGAGTCACTAACACAGACTAATGTAAAATGTATGGTAATACAAAGATAAATTTAACTACTTAATAAACAACAGGATAGATTTTTTTTTAAAGAGAGAGATCTTCTGCCTAGAATTCCTCAGTCAGTAACTAAAGCATCACAGTTTTCCTTAACTGATTATGCTAAAAGCTGCAAACATCAATTTGATAATGCTTAAATATGTACCGGTTGCTTCATTCTACCTCATCAGTGTGTATGGTTTGTCCAACACAGCCATTTTGAGATG